CCAGCGCCTACTATCCGTACGAGTCAGTTAGATTTTACAAATATGTGAGCCGTTCACAGCCCGGCACACGTATTTGTAAAATCTAAGTGACTCGTACAACACGGAATTCATAAAAAACGGAAAAATCAACAGTGTTATAGGGGGTCGACTTGTACACCACTTTCGTGTATATTTAATAATAATAATAATAATAAATGATGTAAAAATCCGCACGGATAACCGAAAACCCGGATAAAACGGACATCCACGGCCATTTTAGATTAAAAATTACGAATATGAAAAAAATTTAATCGTATTCGATCCACATTTCTTCGGATAATCGGGATTCTACTGTATTAAAAACGAACAAACTTTGCAATAAAAAATATAAAAAATCAAAGTTTAGATAGACTATGTTATTTCGCTGTCATTTTGGATGGTAGCCAACATTTCCGCTGACACTTTTAATACATATCCATCATTACTTACATAATTATTCTAAGTAGTTTTTATTATAGACCATATTTTCAGTGTCTGTAGGTGGCACAGACACTGCAATTTTACAGAAAAAAAAAATATATATTCTTTCGTAATCAGTATATACGTATCTATAGTTCAGGAATATCAGCATTTCATCGATCGATCGAGACTTTATAACCTATTATAGGATTTCCTTCTTACATAAAATTAAAAATCCAAAAATAGAGAACTCGTATATATACCCACGTGTGTATAGCCTATATATATATGAAATTTACGTAATTATTTATTATAAAAATCGATAAGCGCAGAAATCTTTTTGAAGAATTATCGATTTTAGATTGTTAAAACACAGTTTTTTTTTCTTTTTAAAATATTGTATACACGTGTATATAATTTTGTTTTTAGGTATGGTTTCGATGCATCACCCTGGAAACGTTGTAACACGTGACGATTTCGCTACTATAACTAAAGAAGTACAGCTTGTGGCTCCTTCGTCCGATATGAACGGTAGTGCAGTCAGTATTACGTTAACGACAGAAGGAATTGAGGATATTAAAGAAGATCAATTCGTTAAGACACCCGTCAAAGTTGTAGTTAGAGAGAGTACCGATTGGATGAAACGCGTTACTTCTGTGGAAAATGAATTTCAGAAACTTACAGAAAGGAGCGTGGAAAATCCCAGTGAGATTTTTCATTACCAACAAAATATTATTAACAATAGCAGTAGCAGTAGTAGCTCTTCGAATTCCATAGAGGACTTGGTTGGTATTAAACAAGATATGGAAATGAAACCCAAGAAGGAAGAAAGTATTAACTGATGTCATTACATTGGACCAATGTAATTTTCTTTTCTATAGATTCTTCTAACATAATTAGATAAGAATTTTGTTTGTACAGAATACAATTATATATATATATACATACATATATAATAATGTTTATTAATAATAAAAATTGTATTTAAATATGCTGGAAATCTTTACATGACAAATATTTTTTTAAATTATTTATGGAGGAAAAGTATACAAAACAATTAAAGAACTTTTTAAAAAAATTTATTTTACCCTTAGAACTTTACAAAAGTATTTGGATGATTTAATTAATTAGTACATAAAATTATAAGTAAATTTCATTATGTTGGGCACTATTTTAAGATTTATAAATGGTAAAAAATGGTAAAAAAAAAAAACTAACTGCATCCTGTTTAATGGAAGAAATATTTAAAATTTGAAATTTAAGCTATTTTTGTGCATTTTTAAATTTAATTTAATTAAAAGAACATAAATATTTATCTTATAAAATTACATTTTTAAAAAAAACCTAATTATATTTTTCACATAGAATATAGGAGAATATTTGGAGTGGGTAGATCTAATGAAAGCAATTATTCCTAACAATGTCTTTCAGTTGCCAGGATTTATAGGTAGTTAGAATGAGTTAAAAATTGACACTTCTTCATTCTGTACAATGAGAAATACATATACGACTGGTTGTTACTTCGATACAAATCAAATTAAGGCCGACTTCGCTTCTGTTAATTACATGCTCTGATAATCGTACTTCTCGGTACTCAGTACAGATAATATTACATATTTAGTTTCCAACTAATCAATATATTTATTGTAATAAAGTTTATTTTTTAAAACAGTGTCACAACAAAAATATCTTCTTAAGAAAAACCCTTAAGGTTTCTTTAGATCTATGTATGACAGGGGTTTTTAACTTGGTCACTAAGGACCTCATATAAGTGATTAATAAATTTTTCTAGGGATCATTTGGAGGTTGGTGGATAAATTTGTGTCTATTACATTTAAAAATTACTGTATACAAAAGTAATATGTATTAATAATTGATACATCTTTAAATTTTATTAAGATAAAACTCAGTTTCAAATTTTGATTTATATTTAATTAAAAATCATAATTAATTCCTATTTGATTTTTAGTTCATTTCATTTGAAATTTATAGAAAGGAGTTGGAAAATTAAATCTAGTTTCAGAAAAGTATCAATAAACAAAAAGAGTTAGGAATTCATGTTCTAAAGAATGAGTACATAAAAATTCTGTATTAAACTTGTTACAATGATAAAGTATAATTTGTCAGTTAAATTTAAATATATATACCTACATCTATATACAGTATATATATATATATAGTACAAATTTTTACAGATTAAGCCATTGTTGTATATGTTTTTTTGTATATAAATGTATGGGTAAAATGGATAAATCAAATATAAAATTAGCAAAAATAAATTTTATAAAATTATATTATTATTATTATTATTATTTAACAAGTGTATTTACACCAATACAAAATATGAAATTAAATCATTTTAATTACAAGTTACTTTATATTAAAAAACATGTACAGACAATTAAAAACAGTTATTATTATTTAAAGGATTTTAAAATGCTGCTTTCATTTTGACTTGATTACAGTATTTGACTAATTAGTTTAAAAAAACAAAACTTTTTAAAATAAGATTCCTGTTTTTATGAAGATAAGATAAAAATTGTAAGATGAATTTGTTGAATGTAATTAAAATATTTTTAAGAAAGGTAATAAAATTAATTCTAGCATACATATTTTAAATAGTTTAATAAAATAATTTTAAAATTTCTTGATTTATTATCAAATTAATATGAAAGTTTTAAAAGAGTATTTAGATATACAATTATATATTATTAGAAAATTTCAAAATTGAGCTAATGCATTTCGACTTAGTAGATATAAAGTAAAACCTCACTTTCTTAAAATAAATAGTACTGTACATTGCTTGCAAGAGCAAATTTTCTTTTATTGATTTATAACACAGTATGTTTTAATCAAACTCATGTTTACAAAAGCATTTATTCATTCATTCATCTATGTTTTTTATTACATTTTGAATGTATATTTATACTAATAATGAAAAAGTATGCCATGATAAATGGCATACTTTTTCATTATTAGTATTTTTTTTCATCAATGTTAAATTCAAGAATTGATGTCGACAGTACTTGTGTAAATGCACAGTTAGTATCATAAGAAAAATATTCAAAAATGTCATAATGAAATGATCATTTTAACATTTTTCTATTGGAAATTAACTTTCTAGAAGACATTATGTTGATAAATTTATTTTTATATTTATTTACATATTTGCTATTTTGAATTTATTAAACAACTTAGAATATTTTTAGCAAATTTTAACTCCTAATGTTTCTTTTCTAAATGTTCCTGTACACAGAAAGTACAATATACAAGGTGTACCAGAAACACGTGATGGTTTTTAGAATAAAATAACACTTCAGGGAAAAACAAATATTTATTACTTTGCACAGATACATACTTTTCAATGGAGAATTAATGTGTATCACTGTGACTTGATAAATGGCCATCATGTCCTGTGAATTAAAATTTAAAAACAATTTGGTATTAAAAGTGAAAAAATATTATTGGACTTCACACCTAATATTGTATAAGCAAAGTTGAGAAAATTATCATCTAGGCGTTAATAACCAACAGCTGGATGTGCCTTCCTTGTGGGTCAACTTATACAACAGATTAAAACAACGTCGCTAGCTCCACATTCTTGCAAAATAATCTATTGCTCATGCGCGTCGGCACCGAGCACGCATCTTTTAAATTCTCTGTTTTTGTTCTATTTTGATTTTATTCCAAAGCTGGTTTGCCGTTGCTGTAATTTGAATTTGAAGGATATTAACTGTTCTTTTAACCTGAAGAAGACAAAAATAGTTTCGTTGAAAGCGCTTGCAATTTGGTATTTCTGGTACATCCTGTATTTACACTTGAAAGAATACACTATGATCCATCAGCTGTGCAAATGCTACAGAAAATTATAAATTGTTTCTTGGAATTTAATAACCTGTCTTGTATTTCACAATCTGAGTTTTTCCTACTTCAATAGTTAAAAATTAGTATTGGTTTAATTCTTAAAAATTAGATAAAATTCATTAAAGTTGCTTTGGCAGTATTGATCTGAATATATCTAATATTGGTGTTTATTTTTAGTCTAAATATCATTGATTTGAATGCAGAAACACATTTCCATCTTTAAATTTGCATTTCCTTAGAGATGTTAGGACATACTCTATTTCAATTTATCAAATCATCATATTTTTAAAGAGATTGTCTAAGTGGTTTTTAAGTTAAGTGAATAATAAATATTATGCATAATTATAATACAATTTAATTATATATTAAAAAACATAGATTGAAATTTTTTAAAATATGTTAGTGAATGATCAATAACCCAAACATATTATTAAAGCAATAAATTATTTATAATCTGATTAGTTTCCAGGTAGAAATTATCAGATTATGATAATTTAACAATAAAGTAACAAATATATCTGATATTTATGAGAAAATTTCAATATTTAGTCATGTTATCAAAGCAGTGACATGTTTAAAATTTTGAACTATTTCTAAATATAATTCAATAATTTGTTGATAAATTGCATTCATGTAAGTACAATTAAAACACAAAAATAAATTGTTTTGAAGAAATTTTAAAATTAACTAAATTTAATTATTAATAAGTAAAACATGTTTTTGTTTCATACTTATTTTTACTTGAATGCAAAACATATTTATTCTTATTAACTATTAATGATTTAATAACTAGCAAATTAATTTAGCAATTTTGCTAAATAGCTTAAATAAGTAATATGAGGGCAGTTTTTTCCAACCTCCAACAGTCCATAAAACAAAGACAAGTGTAAATAACAAAATTCATTTATTACGAAAAGTTAGGTACAAACATGGTTACTTTTTGACATAATCACCATGAGGATTGAGGCATTTGCCCAGGCACAAAATAAGAAGGCCAAAGAAAAAATCATATTAAAACTTTGATTATTTTAGCCTATCATTGTTACATTTATCATAAAGTATCTAGGGCATAATATTTTAAAATGTTATAAATCAAGGGGATGAGTAGTGTCCAAGTTTTATAGTAGCCTATACTTTTCAGAGTCCTAGAGAATAAGTAGGAAAAATTTTGGTGCAGATGGTCAAAAAGTTTAAAAGTGTATAGAGAACAGAAAATATTTTCAAGGTAAACTGGAATGCAAAACAATTATATAATTAACTGGTACTACTGTATACTCTAGAGCAGTGGGTCTCAATTTTTCCGAGACTGAAGAACACCATTTTTATTTTATATTACTTTTTATTACTGGAGAATTAGCATCAATATATTCAAAAACTGATAAGCATTTTTATGTTTATTATTCTGATGAAACAATAAACTAATAAACTTTATTGCATTAAATAAAATAGGAACATGGAATTGTTTAAGAATAAAATAATATAATATAGTACTTTGGAATATATATGAAATAAAAACTTTAAAATGTTTTTAGGGAACACTTGTGGTTAAGAACCATTGCTCTAGAGGAATGCGATTTCATGTTTCATTTCTGCTATTCTATTTCTACATACAAAGAAAAAAACAGATTCAACAGTTCCAATTTCACTTCTGGAACTAGAATAACTCTGCTGATAGTGTTGATTAAAAACTTTCAACACAAAAGACTAATTATGTTTTAAGTGTCTTTTTTACAGAAAATTTGTAGAATCTTAATTTTTTATCACCACCACTGGCAGAAGACACTGTATTTTAACTTTGATCATATTTAGTTCTCTGTACATTAGAGAAAAACTTGTACAATTTTTTTTCGTGAGTTTCTACAATGTTAAAAGTAATAAATTAAGATTTACTTCAATTTATATGACCAATGTAATTTTCAGCACTCCTCCCAATGTCAGCCATTTTTTATGTTCTCATCAGTGGCCATTTAATTAATTAAAATTACTAATAAATTTTTGATTTAAAATAAATCATGAACATATTTTATTAATTTTATTTTTATAAAATCTTTAAAACATTTATGAAAGTCATTTTTTTTATTACAAACTAAATTTATTTATACAAAATTTATAGAATTTTTCTATTGTCATTTCATACTTTTATAAAATGATATATAACAAATTAAAAAATAATAAAAATTACTCNTTGCATTCATTTAAGTACAATTAAAACACAAAAATAAATTGTTTTGAAGAAATTTTAAAATTAACTAAATTTAATTATTAATAAGTAAAACATGTTTTTGTTTCATACTTATTTTTACTTGAATGCAAAACATATTTATTCTTATTAACTATTAATGATTTAATAACTAGCAAATTAATTTAGCAATTTTGCTAAATAGCTTAAATAAGTAATATGAGGGCAGTTTTTGTTCCAACCTCCAACAGTCCATAAAACAAAGACAAGTGTAAATAACAAAATTCATTTATTACCAAAAGTTAGGTACAAACACGGTTACTTTTTGACATAATCACCGTGAGGATTGAGGCATTTGTCCAGCCACAAAATAAGAAGGCCAAAGAAAAAATCATATTAAAACTTTGATTATTTTAGCCTATCATTGTTACATTTATCACAAAGTATCTAGAGGATAATATTTTAAAATGTTATAAATCAAGGGGATGAGTAGAGTGTCCAGGTTTTATGATAGCCTATACTTTTCAGAGTCCTAGAGAATAAGTAGGAAAAAATTTGGTGCAGATAGTCAAAAAGTTTAAAAGTGTATAGAGAACAGACAAAATATTTTCAAGGTAAACTGGAATGCAAAACAATTATATAATGAACTGTATACTCTAGAGCAGTGGTTCTCAATTTTTCTGAGACTGCAGAACACCATTTTTATTTTATATTACTTTTTATTACTGGAGAATTACCATCAATATATTCAAAAATTGATAAGCATTTTTATGTTTACTATTCTGACGAAACAATAAACTAATAAACTTTATTGCATTGAATAAAATAGGAATATGGAATTGTTTAAGAATAAAATAATATATTATAGTACATTGGAATAAATATGAAATAAAAACTTTAAAATGTTTTTAGGGAACACTTGTGTTCCACAGAACACCGATTAGGAACCATTGCTCTAGAGAATTGCTTTAGAGTTTCAATTCTGCTATTCTATTTCTATGTACAAAAAAAAAAAACAGCTTCAACAATTCCAATTTTACTTCTGGAACTGGAATAACTCTGCTGGTAGTGTTGATTAAAAACTTTCAACACAAAAGATTAATTATGTTTTAAGTGTCTTTTTTACAGAAAATTTGAAGAATCTTAATTTTTATCACCACCACTGGCAGAAGACACTGTATTTTAACTTTGATCATATTTAGTTCTCTGTACATTAGAGAAAAACTTGTACAATTTTTTTTCGTGAGTTTCTACAATGTTAAAAGTAATAAATTAAGATTTACTTCAATTTATATGACCAATGTAATTTTCAGCACTCCTCCCAATGTCAGCCATTTTTTATGTTCTCATCAGTGGCCATTTAATTAATTAAAATTACTAATAAATTTTTGATTTAAAATAAATCATGAACATATTTTATTAATTTTATTTTTATAAAATCTTTAAAACATTTATGAAAGTCATTTTTTTTATTACAAACTAAATTTATTTATACAAAATTTATAGAATTTTTCTATTGTCATTTCATACTTTTATAAAATGATATATAACAAATTAAAAAATAATAAAAATTACTCAATAAAAAAAATATGATCCTTAACAATTACAAGCATAATATGATATATCTTTAAAATTATTTTACAAAATTATTGCCGAATGGATTATTTTTCAAAATAATTATAGCACCAAACAGTTCTTCGCAGAAGTCCAAGCGATAGACTATATAAAATGAAATCTTATTGAAACTTACATTATTTTTCTACGTTTTATCAAATGACAGAAGTTAAGACACCATAATTTGTAAGGAACCAAGTCCGAGCATTATTTTATTTTACTTTTATTTTGCTTTTATTATATTTTTGTTTGGGGCTTATGTTTAGTTATAACGACGTTTCCTCACCCAACACCCTAGAACGTACTAAAAAGAGAAGATAACATAAACCAACTCACCGACGACGAAACGAAAGCGCCATAGCTAGAGCTCGCACCCACGTGCACGCCCGAGCGGCAGAATTGTTAGTCCGCACCGAAGGGGGGGAAAACACCCCGTAGACTTTTAGGAACTTGTATAACCTTAAACGAAAACATCCCGATAATTGTTCAAGAAATGCTGTAAAAGGTTTACAAAGTATTGTCGAGAATTACGCTACCAGATAACTACGAAAAACTAAAATGTTACGTGCAGATATGTAAATGAGGAGAGTGTCTCCAGTAGAACTTGTGACGTCACCTCAGACTATAAGTACGGCAGCTCGAGTGAAGATGACAGAGGTGAGCTCCTGAACCGAAAGCGTTGGTCTGCTGGTAGCAGTGAACAAGGTGTCAAATAGGAAATCCTAGTAGGAGATTGAAGGTTCGAGTTTGATTTGAAAAGAGGAAAGTCTTGAGTAGAGGAAAAGGTTCCGAGTATTAATTGAGGTGACGGTTAGGCTTGATAGTTGTAAGAGAATTTGTATCTAAGTTAAGAATTGAATTTTGTTTTGTCGGAATTCCAAGGGGAATAGTTCTAAGTTAGAATAAGACTTAAGTTTGTCGGGTTGATTTCTGATTTGATTTTTTTATCTAATAAATTTGTTGTTTGTTTATAAATCTTGTACATAGTATTTGTTAGACTTGATTAAACATTTGTTATTGAGATTTTTTGGTGACTAATTGTCCTTAATTTATTTCGGTGCATGCTAAAAGTCCAGGCCTGGCAACTAACAAACGCGAACCCGCGTAAAGTACCCGTTAGGTCCTGGCTCTTTAGGAAAAATTCGTTTTAGAGCAACAAACTAAATATAGTACTTTACAAATTTAATTATATATTTATTATTTATTAAACAATAAAATTAACACTTTTATAATTAAAACAAATAAACAAGCTGAATTTTTAGTCAATAAAAACAAAATGGCTTCTTAATAGCCTGATGATGTGACTGTAAAATATAATTTTTTGGGGTTTTTTCCTCGCGTTTCCACAGAATGATAGTAATTAAGTCTTTCATCATGTCTTTCGTGTCCTTGATGGCTATCATGAGTAACTGACACAAAGGTATTAAAAATACACATTGTTTATGTTTTCAATTAATAAATAACTTTCAAAATTTTGCTTTCCATCTTGTTCACTTGATCTTTCATTTTTTCTATTTTCATTTGCTCTTGCCCCTTCTTTAATTGTACACTCTCTTCGTTCAACCTCTATCTCTCTCTCTTGAATTGCATGCTCTTTTCGTTCAACCTCTATCTCTTTCTCTTGAATTGCATGCTTTTTTCGTTCAACCTCTATCTCTTTCTCTTGAATTGCATGCTTTTTCCGTTCAACCTCTCTCTCTCTTGCTTCGTTCGCTTGCTCCCTTTCTTCGTTTTCTCGCCCAACATCTTACAAAGAGAGCAAGCAAATGTACGAAGGGAGCAAGTAAATATACAAAGGGTGTATATTTACTTGCTCCCTTCGTACATTTGCTTGCTCTCTTTGTAAATTAACACTTTCTTCACTGGCTCTTTGTTTACTCACTTGCGCTCCTTGTTCATTCACACTTTCTTCATTTGGTGTTTCTCTTTTACTATTTCTTTGTTCAAATCTTTTTAGTATATCCCGTCTTAATTGATTCTGTTCTTTCTTTTTATGCAACCTTTCATCACGCTCATGTGTCATTTCATTGTTTCTTTTTCTTTGGCTCTCCCTATTTTCTTGTCTTTGACTTTCAATCTTGTCTAACCAATCCATCTTTTTCTGTCAGTATTAATGAGATTTCACAATTGATTAGTATTGATAAAGTTTGGATTATTTTTTTAAATCAAAAAGTTGTATCTAAGCAATTATAAGAATTATACTAAAATTTTACTACTAATAGAGGAGAAGGTGGTATTATGGAACCCCATTTTCATTTTAGTGAATTGTAAGCAAAGTATCATAACTACACCCACATTTTTTTTGCGAAAAGTACTGGTAACTATTAAACTAACTATTCCTAATTGGATTTTTTGCTAGTGTAACTATAAGTATAGTTTTTGAAGGCTTTTGTACAAAAAGTCAGAAAGTAGGCTTAGAGAAAATCGGGTGGTAATATGGAACTTTACTGTATGTTTTCAAAAAATGCCTTAATGTATCCAAAAACAAATAGGAAAGTACAAAAAATGTTAAATAATTATAAATTATTTACTCCAATGTATTTTATCAAAAAAAATGCTTTTATAATAGAAAAATATGACCTCCATCAACAATATATATTCCAGCAGCTGTTTTTCGATATTCTCAGGAAGAATTGGCTTTCTGCCTAATATCTTTTTCACAAATTGCTCCGGAGGAATGTCTGCTTGCAAATAGAGAGTTTGGAGGAGATGGGGTTCATATTAAAAGCACCAATGGGGTCCATTTTAAAAGCATCAATGGAATCGCCATCTTGAATTAACTTATGTCTGTCAAGACCAAATTTTAAAAAACGCGAACATCACAGAGATTAATATGTACCCCTAAGTCTCTGGAATGGAATACATGCACCCAGAGCCGTAACTAGGCAGATGCAACAGGTGCACCTGCACAGGGCCCACTTGGAAGGGGGACCCAAACTGCTGTTCACAAGAAATTATATAGTATTTTTAAATTTTAAATTTTTCTGCTTTTTACAGTGCGGTTTTTCGATTACATTTCGCCCTACTTAGACCCTAGATGTCTGCTCATCAGTGTTTTCAACTGTGGCGACTTTTAGAGATACATAGAGAGGTAGCGGAGACCGCAGACAAATCAGCCAAAAGTAGCGACTTTTGAGATTTTTAAATTTATTTTTTGAGAAATTTAAATTTATGTTCATAGTTTTCAAATTTACAGATTTTTCTCTACTTTATAGAGCTCTCTGACAACTACTAATATTATTACAATATACAAAACTGTATTTCTAGATTTTTCTACAGTGTGCAGAGCTAGAAATCTGTAAAGGTAACATTTTGTAACAAAAATAAATCTGCCCGAGAATTTTTTTTAAAATTACTAAATTGAAAACGGTAACTCCTGAATAAAATCTTAGTCTTGAGGTTGTAAAAGGCGTGCAGAAATTCTGACATCATTTTTTGCATTATAGTGGTACGCATATGTGGTGTATACCTGAATGACAGATTAAGCGGTAAGCGAACTATGCGGGCGCGTAGTCCCGAAGGGACTCCTGCAGTCTTTAAAATGCTACTGTAAAAAGGGATTCCGAAAATGCAGAAGATAGAAATAGTCCAGAAAAACGCTTCGATATATATAGATACATGGAAGTAATAAATGATATAACTTTATTGCCAACAATATTAACAGATGCTATTATTGATCATATTCTTAATACAAACCAAAAAGTATAGAAAAAGAATTTCTTAATAAACGAAAAAAAAAAAAAAGAATTAAGATAATGGAAATAGACAAAACACCAGATGAATGAAGTAACTTGACACCCGAAAAATTATTTAAAATACAAATTTACAGTGTTCTTGACACTCTATTGTGTCAAATAGATTGGTGTTATGAAAAAAATGAAAACTATCTGTGACGATTTTTGCTTTCTCTGTGGCTCGTCTTTACAACACATGAGCGTTGCTGATTTAAAAAATCGGCTGCAGATCTCGCAATTAAATATAGCAAAGATTTAAAAACGTATGAATTCACAAGTGAAATTGAAAGTTTTAATATTGAAGTAACGACTCTTATACAAAATATAGAAACTGCATATCCACTTAATATTCTACAGCAATGATTCTCAAACTTTTTCGATCCACCGCCCCCTTTGTTCCATTATACCCAATGCTCCCTAACCCATTTTCTCTTGTGTGAGAAAGGATTGGAAATATTGTTAGGAAAACTTTTCTATGAATCTGACACTTTGTGCCCTTACCGTACATTGTTCTCAACATCTGGAAACCATTAAACACAATGTTTCCTCTTATCAGTTTAACAGAGGAAAGGTAACAGCTTTCAGTGACCCCAATTTTGCCTTTGGTCACTGTTCAATACCCTACCTCCAGCGCCCCCTAGATTTACTCATCACCCACAACAGGGCGTTATTGCCCACTTTGAGAAACGCTGTTCTATAGGCTCTTCATGATTTTGGTTTAATTGAGTCTTACCCAAATATCAATGTTGCTCTTCGAATATTTCTAACTCTTCCCGTTTCTATTGCTTTGTGCGAGAGAAGTTCTAGCAAGTTAAACTTAACAAAAAATTATTTAAGATCAACTATCGGACAAGAACGATTATCCAATATTTCTATTATTTCAATAGAATACAATATCGTTAAAAATATTAATTATGGTGGTGTAATTAATGAATTTGCTGAAATGAAAGCCAGAAAAATTCAGTTAAAATAAATCTTATTTGTTTTATTATTTTCCCAAAACCAAATAAATTAAGGGGCCTAAATGCAAATTCTTGCACAGGGCACAGGAATGGCTAGTTACGGCTCTGCATGCAGCAGTGAACCTACACGATTTATATTTTTAAAATAAATAAATTCAAGTAGCATTCAAACTTTCAAATTTTGAAAAGCACAAATTTGCTGATTCACTACGGACAAACGTTTAACTGAAGTGAAATGGGTTTTCCCCTTGCTATGGATGTCTGCCTAGTTCAGTTCAGCCACAATCGGCTACAGTTCGCCTTTATTATCAGTTTGAAATGGAGTGGTTCCATAATACCACCTTTTCCTGTACTAAAATTATAATTAATACTATAAATTTAAAATCTAAGCTTTATCAGTCTAAATACTGTAGAGATAGAGTACATAATTGATAAAATATATTTATCTTTAATAGATTACATATTATAATCAATTTTAAGCCAATAATTTTGTGGCTAAATTGTTGTTTTAATATTTGTACCGTACGTTTATATTAATAGAAATCCCCGATGCATTAAAACCCCATTATTTCGAAACTCAAGGGACCGAAAAACACGACTTCGAATTATCCGAACTTCTTTTCGAATTGAATTTTTTTTTTGTAATTCTCGAATAAAATCATGACATTATCTTATATAATTTCACCCATTAGCCTTATCAATGGCTAAAGCTAGGTGTAAGCTATTCTATCGTTAATATGCAGATGTGTATTTAATCGACTTTGGAATTATTGAAACAATAGATTTTTGCGGAAAATGTCCAAAATAATTAAATGCAAAACATATTTTTTCCATAACCTCCTAACAAACTTGTATAAAATACAAAGATAGTTCAAACACTGCAAAACTGGAATAAAATATGTCATAAAAAACGCAAGCCTCTAAACCTTACAAATGAAATTCCAGCATCCCTCTTCTACTCCAGGAATGCCAAAACTTCCAGGAGTAGGTATGATCAGGTCAATTCCAAGGTCATTGGGGGATATGTAATTATATGATGAAAAAAATTCGTATAAAATCAAATGTTTGTATTAAAAATATGAAAACCAATAATTCTAATACGGAAGTATGTGTACTTTTGTTTGATATATTATTTATCTGCTTATATTTTGTATTATTTTTTTAAAAAAATTCGTATTTTATTGTTTATGTTAATGATCTGTAAATTAATTGCAATTTTATTTAATGTAGGGGTTTCCAAAGTGGTCGATATCGACCCCTTGGGGTCGATAAAGAGTTCTCCAGGGGTCAATTAATACATCAGGGTCGAAAGGGGGTCGATTAATACCAAAGAGGATTAATTAAACTATCTAGGAAAAAAAATAAAATATTCCAATAAAAATTCGAAATACGGATATGATCAACATCACTGACTATCCTAGTTATAACTTGAGTTTTGCCTTAGCCTACGCCGCTTTAAGCATGTGTTACTCTGTTTTCATGCATCTGGCAACTGTACTAGTGTTGCAAACATGTTACGAACGCTGGTAGTTCATTATACACAGACATATGTTGCACTGTTACACTCTAGTAGTGTTGTCACTCTAAGTATTTTATATCTAAATGTAGATATTTTGTCCTTTAAAGAGAAAATATCACAATATATCGAAAATCATTAATATAGTACAGAAGCGTTTGCGAGGAAAAAACGTTACAATTGTTCAAGCTTGAACAATCATTATGGCCTTTTGAGTAAAAATGGAGCTATTTAAATCTTCACTGGCACGATTTGATTTTAAGTATTTTTCAAACTCGCGAGTACTAAAAGAAAATGAAAAGATTTCTGACCGTTATTTGGAGATATATATTAAACATCGTGATAAATTAAGAGAACACTTTAAAGCACGTTTCGAAGACTTGGAGAATATGCATGTTCCCGAATGGTTTGCTAATCCATTTGATGTAAAAGTAGATAATGAAGGTAGTGAACCTGGCTTAGAAGATAAACTGATTAAAATATGTGTAGATTTCGAAGCTAAAGCGTTGTTTAAAAATAAAAACCTCGGTGAATTTTGGAGCAATAACAATATTGCCCTAAATATCCTGAGCTCAGAGCAGAAGCCAAACCTTTCTTACTCGCATTCCCAACTTCATACGTGGTTGAAGCTGGTTTAACCACGCGAATGCAATTTTGACAAAACAGAGGAACGGATTGAACTTGGAAAACCGTGGTGATTTGCGACTAAAACTTATCAATTTTCAACCGAATATCAATAATCTTGCTGCTTCTCTTCGGACACATCAATCCCACTCATATCAACTTTTTTAAGAAAAAGGCATGTTAACATATTTTTAAGGCATTCAGTATTAGTCGCAAAATGACAGTAAGAGGTTTTATTCATCCAATATAACTTATGTTATGTTTTCAAAGATAAGTGTGTATTTTACGTATTATGATACGTACGGTTTAAGAACTATAGGCAAATTTCCATCTATCCATAATTTTGCTATTATTTTTTAAGATTATAAATTCGTGGAAAATATCTCCTTTTTCTGTTAACGTTATTGGGTGGATTTTATAAGATATGGGAACTATAAATTCTTTGTTGGATTGTTATGCAGATTCTCCTTATCGCTTAACATCAGAAATGCAAAAATGATTTAATGTTTTTGTTAAATACTTAATCTGGGGGTCGATAAAAAAGCAAATATTGTATAAAGGGGTCGATGGGATAAAAAGTTTGGGGACCGCTAATCTAATGTAATTAAATTGTAAGTCTGGTTTATGTATTAATTGATAGTATACTATTAATTCTATGTTATATTAAAGTATTAGTTTATTACATTCATCGTAAATTATTTTAATTTTAATTTCTATAAATCTAAGACCTTGGTGGAGGTGCACACTGGACGGCGGATCCACACAAACTGTGTCACGTGACCCTATTTCTACGTCACTCTGTCACGTGACTAGGTCTCTGACGCGTTTCCGTGTAGCTTTTCTTGTCGCGGAAGAATCCGTTCTCTTTGCACTAATCACGTGATAGAGCAAACGACTTATTAACACGTGATTAACTCTTTTGTCGTGTCGAACAGCTCGCGGTCTACAGTTTGACAATGTTTGATAGTTACGCTTCCGTAACGTCGTAACGTTCTACAGTATATCCAAATTCCAAGTTAATATTTGACAACGACGATTTATTTATTTATTTTAACTCCGTAAAAACTGAACAAATGAAATAATAAATAATAATTGAGTTACTTTAAAATTCAGATTAAATGCTTAAATTTAATATTTAAATTTAAAATATGAATGTAGAAAAAGAATGAAACAATTTTTAGCTTCTTGGTAAAAAAGACATTTGTTGTTTGTAATGTTTCTATAGGGAGCCCTTCAATTGATAGATGAGTGAATTTGTGATAAACATCTTATTAAGAACACTGACAATAGATTGTATAAAACTATTCTCTACATTTATTAATTTAACTACAAGACAATTGTAAATTATATTTTCAATAAACATTTCAATTCTGCATCAATAGATCTGCTAATTGATTACGTTTTACTTCTGCAGCTGTACGATTTCTTGTAATTGGGTCTTCTGCAGGTTCATTATAATCATCAACAAATGCATCCTCTGTACAGTCAATATCACCTTGATTAATGCATAAATTGTGCAATATACATGATGTCATTACGACTTTTGACATTGATGAAATGTTTTCCATGTCCAAATATTTCAGACGACGGAATCGCCCTTTTAGCAGACCTATGGTTTGTTCTACCACAACTCTGATAGAACTGTGTCTTCTGTTAAAATTTTTCTGTTTTACAGTAAGATTACCATAATCTTTATATGGTACAATTAAAAATGTATCTAATGGATACGCTGAATCTCCAAGTAAATAATACTTATCTCCTAAATACCTTGAAGATTCGTTTAAAAACCTATTATAAATAGGGCTCTGCTGCCAAACCCGAGAATCATTGGCACTACCAGGCCAACCAACAAATGCATCAATAATTCGCATTTCAGAATCACAAATTATTTGCAACAGGATAGAGTGCCTTCCTTTCCTGTTGTAATAACTCTGGCTGTCTTCCTTTGGAGCTTTTATATATATGTGTGTTCCATCAACACACCCAATTACTCCAGGCAATGAAACAGAACGTAATTCTTCAAACTTAAAAACTGTTCTTTCCAAGTTATCATTTGGCCATGTAATAAACTTGCCAATCATACGACACATTTTTTGGCAGAAGTCTATAAAGATTGTGTGTGCATGACCTTTATTGACACCAAATCTGTCTCCAATACCTCTAAATGATTCTTGGTTAGCAAGAGTCCAAATACTCAATAATACTTCCTTTGTAGAAGAAATAAGAGGTCGTCCTTTTTTTACTTTCATTTCTCTCTTTGAATTTAATAATTTTATAACTTCCTATAAAAAATAAACGCATTATCAGTTAATTTAGAAATTAATAGAAAATTTAGCTTATTTTAAGTTAAAAACTTACTTCTGTTGAACTTTTTGTGAGTCTAAAATGAGATTTGAAGTCATCCATAGAATATGAAGGTACGACTTCTTCAACGTAATTTCGTATCTTCTGTCGCTTAGATTTTTTACGTTCATTGGAAACAGCGATGCCAACCATTAAATTTTCATACCTCCTTTTTTTATTCTTTTGTAATTCTTTAAATAATATGTTACTTTCTAAAACTGAAATCAGCGAACAAGGGACAGCGTCCATTTTGCTTCAGCGACAAGCGTTTGTAAAATGCCGTGCAGCGACATGCAGCGGTTGCTGCTCGTGACGTCATTTACGCTACATTTTCGCTGCATAAAAAAAACGCGGCCAAAAGCTACACGGAAACGCGTCAGAGACCTAGTCACGTGACAGAGTGACGTAGAAATAGGGTCACGTGACACAGTTTGTGTGGATCCGCCGTCCAGTGTGCACCTCCACGACGACGGCAAGCTTAAGTAATGGCGTCTCGAACGGAGCACAATCGGTAAGTAGTCCTATGATTTTTTGTTTATAGCTCTTTATATACGGGTCGGACGGAAAAACGTTATGCGTTTTCCGAACGACTATTAAATATACATTGTTTTTAATATAACATAATTAAAAAAATTCATATTCCCTTAAAAAAAAAACTGAATTACATTTACACTACTTTCATCTGGAGATCACAACAGAAACTATATAGCTTTTACATTCTCAAATAATATATTTTATGTTATAAAAAAATTTAACTTACTGATATATTACAAAATAATAATTAGAATGTATTATCTGTATTTTTTATTCTAATAACTTATTAGTATTTTCATAATAATAAAATTCATTTATTCTTTTAATATATTTAAATTTAATTTATCATTAATATCTCATCAATACATGTATATGAATTCATTTAGTGAAATTATGGTTTTAAATAATGAAAAACATTTAATATATTAAATTATTTTGATGTTTTAGTTATTACGCCATAGGAAAGTCACAGGAAATAGAATTGCGTCACCAGGCGTGACGTGTAGGTCATGTGACCTACACGTCACCACAAAATCACGTGCTTTTGTTTACAATATTCGTCACTATTATATGTTATAACGAAATTCACAAAGTTAAATAAAAATGTGAAAAATAATGGAAAGCTGTCAATAACATACGTATAACAGCTTAAATTAGTACAAAAACTAACAAAATAATTAAAAAAAATCAACAAAAGTGACTTTCATACTTTGCATTTACGCTTAAAAAAAAATTATCATCAGAAATCATGAAAAGTATAATGGAAATATGTAATGAACTAAATAAATTTGTAATATCACAAAAATTAGCACAAAAATTAAAGAAAAGACAGAAAAAGGAACATTTACCTCTAGGTTATAGATGATCTTGAGTATTGTAAGAGGTCGTTCTACGTAAAAAATAAAAAATGACAAATTTATTTAAAAATAAAATCCAAAACAATTTTTTCTATGTAAAATAAACACAGAAGAAAACCATCGCGAAACTGCATAAGTCTAAGTTTTCAGGTAATGTGGAGTCCAGGCTTTATTCTGAAATTAGAAATCTTTACGCTTAGTTTCAAGTGGCCATGTCCACTCAATAAGCTCGTTCAGAAGCCACTGTTTGATGCTTTTTACAATTATGTTCAAAAAATATGGAAGAAAAGACTATTTATAATTTCTAATTTCTAGTTTTACATTTTAGTTTTCACTAAAAGCCGAATACTAATTTTATGTTTATTTTGTATCGTGTATTTTGGTTTATGTATTCTTAGTGTTAAACATCCATAGGAGTGGTGCACTTATTCTAATAAAAAACAAGAGAAAGAAACCACCACACGGACTTTCTCCCATGACAAAAAATGTGTAGAGCATGAATCTGCTAGCGTTATTACTGTACTCTATCACGTCACACGAGACAACAGCGTTCTTAATAGAAACAGCCAAATTGAAACTGAATTCAAAACGCCACCACTTAACGAGATCAAAAAATAAAAATAAGAATATTACGTAAGATGAGATCTATTACCCCCCTACCCCTGAGTAAGAAATAGTAAGAAATCCTTTACCCCCACCCACCCCAAAATACCTTACATAATTTATGGACGGCCTTGAAACTAGACTCGCCTTCTAATTATCCAATATCGAAATAACTAGGTTTTCTCAGAGAAATATAAATTGATATTATCAGATAAAATTGAATTATTTATTCAGAGTAGCAATTTTTTCGTTCCTGTTCCCAATTATTCTTCGATAAAAATTACTGAATAACGATGAATACATTCAATATTCATCAAACGGGTGATTATTTTTAAATAAATAGAACAAATACTATACTAGATAAATTATAAAAAACAACTACTTACGTGGAAAAAAAAAGTTAGTCGATTAAACGAAAATTTGTGCGTTTAATTTCTATAATGTTCTATATTTCAAACAAATTTAAAATTAGAATTTTGGAATATATGACGCTTTTCTTACAAAATACAGTAGAACCTCTATTATCCGGACTAATTGGGGATGAAGGCAGTCCGGATAAGGAAAAATCCGGATAATCGAAATAAATACTTTAATTTGTCTTTTAATGATAATACAACACGTTTTCTTTTCTATGGCATATCGGTAATATTAAAAGTAAATACTGTATTTAAATCGTGATCAAATTTTCAAGAAACAAACGTTCGTATTGAATTTGGACTACTACTGACCAACGCTAACAGACTACCTATTGTTTAAAAGGCCCTCTGGTGCCGCAAGAAGACGGATTTTATAAAATAAAAAGCAGTTGAAACTGCATTTTTATGAATAAAAATTTGACAAACTATTTATCGTTTTATGACAAGTATAATTTTTTCGTCGCGTTTGCGGCTATTAAGTAATGCATAAACCTTCGAGGCGCGAGGCATAGGCGGTGGCCCACGTCGTCCATGCCTTACGCCGCCCTTGGTCATAGAAATGATGTAATTTGAATATAAATTATTTATAAATACGTATGTCAAGTTATACTTTTATTACTACGTAAAATATATTTAAGAGTTTACGACCACTATGCTGGGTGAGACGTTGTTGAAACAAAAAATGTTATGCATTCCATCACGTACATAAACAATGTCGTAATTCGCCAAGTGCAAATTAGCAAATTCGTAAAATTTTTGTTTATTTTGAACAATCCGGATAATCGAAAATCCGGATAATGGAGGTCCGGATAATGGAGGTTCTACTGTATTTATAAAATTCAAATGACATAATTATTATAATACTGTATTTAACCCTTTTAACCTTTCGGAATGCCGAACCATACAGGCGTAGGTTCACTCGGGTAAATTCGAAGGTCATTGGAAGAAATTTACTAATATTATGTAAAAAATTCGTATAAAATCGAATTTTAGTAATAAAAATATAAAAACAAAAAATTCTAATATGGAAGTATGTGTACTTTTATTTGGTATATTATTTATCTGCGTATATTTTTATTATTTTTTAAAAAAATTCGTATTTGTTGGCTTACGTTAATGAACTGTAAATTAATTGCCATTTTATCTAATTTAATTACATTTTATATCTGATTAATGTACTATTTGATAGTATACTATTAATTCTATGTTATATTAAAGTATTAGTTTATTACATTCATCGTAAATTATTTTAATTTTAATTTCTGTAAATTTTCCCAACGGTTTTTTGTTTATCCAACAATCGAATCGACATGCTGCCATTTTGAGTACGTTATTACTTGTACGTCTATTCTACATGTAGGTATGTTCTTTCATATACATTTGGTTTGTTATAATATATAATTAGTTCATTTAATGGTATGATTTACCCTCTGAATGAGGGGGTAGCCACCCCCCCAACGGGTAGCCCTCCCCCGTACGAACAATAAATGTCTAATGAACCACCTTCCTACGTGCGACCCTTCGCGAGATATGGTCCTCCGAAAATTGTTGTACGGGTCACGTGACCGCATGTTAGCCCAATTTACCCTGCGAATGAGCGGATCGGCTACCCCCCGAATTGAAGACCCCCTCCGTGCGAACGAAAAAGTCAAAGGAACCATACCCCTGCGCGCGACCCTTTACGAGATATAGCCCTGTAAAGAATCCCATATGTCATTTCCGGCGATCGGGATCGACGAGTCGCGTCGCTCTTTCTATTAAGCCTATTGACCGCTAAGCCTATCGACCTATTCTAACGTTATTGCAGTCTAATTATCGGAGTTAGGTCCTTTTCGCATGACCCCGCGCTCCTCCTCGACCTCGGGAGGGTCTAGGGCCCCTCATTCGCCGACACACTGGGTTTCGCTCGCCCGGTCGGCTACCGTATTAAGCACCGCTAAGCCTATCGACCTATTCTAATGTTACTACAGTCTAATTATTGCCGAGTTAGGTCCTTTTCGCACGACCCCGCGCTCATCCTTGACCTCGGGGCCTAGGGCCCTCATTCGCCGACACGCTCGGGTTTCGATCGCGGTCGGCTAGTACTACGCGCCGCTTTCGCGGCTTGTCCAAAACACCTGACCTACCTCTCCGGAGGTGACTGTCACTACTTAGGCTAATAGAAAACCGTTTTGAAACCAGATTGTACACTCACCTTCAACAGCGTCTCCTCCTGCATCTCCCGCCACGTCCTTTCGCTATCTGGCGACGCCTAGCCTATTCCCGATGTTGCGTGGGTGAGGACGGGGTGAGGCCGCTGGTCCCCGCCTCGGCTAGGTCCTGGGGGTCGATGACGAAGGTGTTGGCGCCCGATGTTGTCTGAAAAATCACATAATCCAGGTTTCACATCCGCAAATAGGTATCCTTTGGTCACGCGCAATATACACAAGCTGCACTACTCACTGGGCGGTCGTCATCCCCCTGCCGTTCCTCTTCGTCGCCCTCGTGCACGGGAACATCGAAATAGGGCTCGTCCGGCGGCAGATGTTGATCCACGGGCACACCGATCGTCCGGAGTTGGAGACCCTGACGACCGGGGCCCGGGTAGACGGCCACGATGTCCCCGATGAACTGCCGGAATTTTGCCGATGTTGTTGGCAACTGGGACAGGACCCGCGTCCTGTACACGTACGTACAGTTGTAGCTCTGCAGGCTCCTGTCCGTGCGGAGCGACTTGATGGACTTCTTCAGCCAGCGATTTCTGCACTCGATGTTCTGAGTGTGGGCCTCGGGATCATCGGCGTCGACGAATCTGCTCGGAAAATAAAAGAAAAATGTCACTTTTCAATAACGCTTGTTCATTTCTTTCACATAACACATTGCAGTTTTATCTTCCTTACCTCCCGGGGCCCCGCTGGCTGTGATTAACGGTCTTATGTTCAGAGAAGCCCATCGTCGTACAACCGCGATATTGGGCCGCGCTGTCGGAAACAATGATGGAACCGCGGGCGATGTATCTGAGCATGTGGCTCCAGAGAACCCGTCGGCTCTTGTTGTCCACCTGAAAGAATACGAGAAACTATAACAAAACTTCCACAAAAACTAAAAAATAAAAGGAAATAATAATGCTTGGCTACTACTTACATGCCAGTACATCACCTCTTTTGTTTCCCGACAATAGGCACCGAAGATGGTGATTTGGGTGCCTTTAGTTACGCGGCCGCGGTTGTATTTTCGCCTCCGGGTGAAGGTCTCGTCGATCTGAAAATAAAACATACGAATATAGAGACAGACATTTCGGCAAAGTCAGAAACGTGGGTCGATGGTCACCTCGACGGTCATGCCTTCACCCCCGAGCTGGATGTTTTGCTGGTGGGAGACGAAAACCTCCGCAACTTCACGGCAGTAATTGTACCAATCTACCGCTGTTTTGGGGGCCACGCCGCATTCCTCCGCGGCGACGGTGACCGGCTCCTGCTTGACCCACGAATAGACCAGCATCAGCACCTGTAAAATAGAAAACCAACAAAACACATATCATCTCAAGCCATACGATCAAACTACAGAAATGCATAGCGTAACGTGACCCAGAGAAAAAGAAACCGCTGATTCTGCGATCACGTTTCGCGAGCGATTTCAAATGTCATACCTCTTGGGCTGTCAGCTGTGTCCTTTCGAAAAAGGTGTTGTGGGTGCAAGACAGGGAACCAGTGCACATGGCCCTGAAGACGGTGCCGCCAGTCCGCCTCCTCATCTTTTTTTTCTGCTGTACTTTTTCACAGCGGTAGACGAATCCGAACCTGTCAGATGGAGCCGGTTCCTTCTGCATAGTGCCTAAATATTACGACAAAAATATCGAAAAACTAGTAAATTGGAATATTGGCAGTTAACATATTACTGTTACTACTACTATTAACTTGCGTGGTCAAATATCGAAACAGGATAGCGGTTACTTTTATCCATGGTTTCAAAATGGCTGTACTTCCGACGGTTTGTGGTCCAGACGGATAAAAATGTAGCTAATGTAACGAAAACGAAACGAACCTAACCGAAGCGACGCCATTTTTGAACCATTAGTAGCATTAACCTACATAGCTGCAGATAGCACTCGTGTAAACGCGGGAATGGAGAAAAGGCTTACCTCTGCACTTCGGACATGGCGGAAAGAAACCGGTTAGGTCACGAGCCCCACAAGATGGCAAAACGTCTGCGCAGCCTCTTCTGTGGGGAGATAGCGAAGAAAACTGTAAGATGTTATATTATTGAATATTGTGGCGGGATCCATAACGGGAGACGCCGAAATATCGCATGTATAAGGCATGATTGGTATTACATATACTGGATTCGAGGATATGAAGGCGACTAAGGCTTATATAACCGCGGGAAACGGTCACGTGACCCACGGTCGGCACCCATTGGCTTGCAGAGCCTCGGGGGACGGTCCGAGTGTCACGTGACCCGCGTCCCATTGGCCCGCGGAGTGCTGCATCTGTATGGCTGAGGAACGACCACGTGATTTGGCTGTCATGCGCAGTGCTGTCCTTCGGCTCGTTTGTCTCAAATATGAGTTCCGAAATGTTTCTGGTAAGCGGACGTGCTGGACTAGTGGATAAAGGCTTGGACTACAGTCAACATAGACCCGGGTTCGCGGCCCGGCCAAGGTAAGACTAATAAATAATAATGTATAGTTATATTTACAGGCAATAGATGGCGACTACGGATGACTGCAGGCGGGTGATATGGACTGCGGGCTGGCGCGGGACAGACGGCGAAGGCGGAGCGGGGAAGCGCGAGGAGAGAGAGACCTAAGCAAGGTGTTCGCGAGGAGCGCGTTAAAATTTTTTTTCGTGCGGTAGACTGCCTTTTGACCACCATGTCACGTGACCGGATATGACGTAGGCGAAACTTCAGGGGCTTATATCTCGCGAAGGGTCGCGTGTAGGGGTATGGTTCCTTTGTTTTTATTGTTCGTACGGGGGAAGGCTACCCGTTGGGGTGGTGGCTACCCCCTCATTCGGAGGGTAAATCTTACCCATTTAATTAATTGGTAGATATTAATAATTTATAAATTGCAGTATTTTAGCAATATTACAACTTTTTTTTTAAATTTTACTTGTATTAAATTAATTTGTATTTTAATCCTATTTTAATTCATATATATTCATTTTAGAGTATTATTAAGTTTTAGTTTTAGAGTTATATTTATTTGTTTGGATTTTCCTTTGTCCTTTTAAACGGAATATTTAAACGGTGACGTAAGACTAGTTTTGACGTAGCGGAAGTTGTGTTCACGTGACTGGGGTACGGGCTTGTTTCGTTCTTTATAGGCAAGCGCCAAATCCGACAGAGGGTGCTGTTTTGAGCCAAGATGGCTGCCGAAACAGGTAAGGAACCGACCACGTGTTTGTTCAGTCCCTGAGCTGATTTAGTTTCTATCGGTGAGGACTACTGCGAGAACCAAATGGAGAACAAATCGTTGAATTTATGTCAAATTCTAGACTATATCGGCGACAGGAAACGTCTTGTAGAAGGTGAAGCCGTTTTGGATGCTGGACACATCGTATTTTGTGGATTAAACTCTAAGGGTGCGACTATGCAGACGCGAGCGAGAATATCTGGCGAGAAGAGGCGAGACGCGATAACTATCAAACCCTGTCAGATATGTGCGAGAACCATAAATTCGCTCTCGCCAGCGATATTTCTCGCTTTTCGCTTGTGCATGGTTTTCCTTTGCGAGAACTATATCGCTCGCAACCTCTCGCTCGCTACTAAATTCGTGTCTGTTAGTCACACCCTAACAACAACACTGAAGTTCACGTTGTTGCTTTAGTGTTGCAATCTCAGATATTGGCATTTTAATACATCTCAATTACAGGGAGAATGCACGTGCAAAGCGGGGCTGTCTGGTTTTTGTAAACATGGTACATGTGATAGCGTGTTTATTACACTTTAACAGGTGAGAAGTATTTAAATATTTTAAGCAGTATACACCATGTTCCAATATAAAAATGTAGTTTTATTTATCATAGTTAAAATTAGTGCCAATCTGAAGGCTGCCCTGCTGAGTCATTCAGCACTTATACAACATAGGCCAGTCAAAAGTTTGTAGCACACGTTTTGTGTGTGTGTACGTCTCATATATCCAAAACGGCTTCACCTTCTACAAGACAACGTTTCCTGTCGCCGATATAGTCTAGAATTTGACATAAATTCAATGATTTGTTCTCCATTTGGTCTTCGCAGTAGTTGTCACCGATAGAATCTAAATCGTCTCAGGCACTGAACAAACACGTGGTCGGTTCCTTACCTGTTTCGGCAGCCATCTTGGCTCAAAAACAGCGCCATCTGTCGGATTTGGCGCTTGCCAATATTCTTTTTTTAAATGTTTCAAATGATTTATTTTTTAACAAACGAATAAGTTATGATATATTTGTATGTTTTAATAGAGTTTTGTAAACCCCCGATTTTTCATTCAACGTGAGAATGTTGAATGAAAATTCTATTAAAACATACAACATCAAGGGAAGAAACTATCTATATTGAAGCTACCACCAGAATGATACGGTCCCGCATCCTCGAACATCAAGAAGACATTAGAAATAATAGACCAGCTACAGAATTAGCGAAAAAGGTGCTAGAACAAGATTATCTTCCACTTTGGAACCAAGTTAAATTACTTAAGCATTGCAATGATCGTAGGCAAATATTCATATGGGAAAACCTTTACATATCCGCTACTTTGCCGTGTAACGTGCCGACATTGGAAATACCACAGCTATGGATAACTTTATTTAAACAATCCAAGTTATAATCTTGTGTTCTGATTTTATTCCATTATTATGCACGGCACCATCAATCAATATTTATATGTTTTGGGGAGTTCATGTTATTACAGCAGGTTTCTTTAAAAATATTTATTTATTCAATTTTATTAATTTGATCTATATTCCAACCACGCGCATTACGTAATTTGGAAAGTCCGTTAAAAGCTATCAATTCGAAAACAAAGGTATTCGATTTCGCCTGAAGACGACGGTTGTAAACTGTTGAAAGTACTAGCGAGAACATCTGAATTTTAACAAATTGCTGTTAATAATGCCGCAACACGGAAGTGTCACATTTTAATTATCACTGGTTTACATTTGGACTATAATACAGCTAATTAATGATTAAATAATGTAATTTGGTTGAAAGTAGACTGTTAGGCCCCTATATTATGTTAAATTTAATAATTAGAAATAAATTTAGATTAAATTAAATAATTTAGAAGTTTTTGAAAGAAAAGTTTTATCTAAAGCAGAGCTTGAACCCCATACTTTTTCACATACCATGCAGATGCATTACTGGTTATGCTACTCAGACTTCCATTCAATATTACCTCCAGACCATTATTAAGAAACAGTTTATTGACTTTCCTGACTGGAAATGTTTTATGTTGACAACTCTTATATGACTAATTGAATTATTCAGATTGTTTAAATATATTTCTATTTTTCCTTCAATATTTTTCACAAATAATGAAAGTACAATGTAAAATTAATTATACTTTAATTCTTTTTGCTAGGATTTTTTTATCTCCCATCTAAATAAAGAGAGAGTCATACATTTCTTTATCCTCTGATTCTATTTATCTGTATCTGGAGGAACAGAGATAAATAAAAACAGAAGATAAAGGAATGTATGGCCACATTTTCTAAATTCCTTTCCTTCATTTTATTTTACTTTGTCCATCTACTTACATCAGGCTCTCAGAATCTAACTCTTTTTTTTCTTTTTCTTTTCCCCCCCTTCTTTCTTTAAATCTTCTTCAACATCCATTCAAACATTTTTGCAATATTCTCCCCTATCTTATTATTTTTTTTAATTTGTCTGTACTACTTCAATCATTTTTCTTTTTCTTTTTGTATAATTATATGTTTGTATGCATTATTTTTTAGTAGTTTTGTGTTTTTTACTTTTTGTAATGTGGATATTTTTGCTGATCTCTAATAATTCATTTCTATTGGCAATGATTTTTTTTTTATATTTTTTATGTCGTATTTCAGCTACATAGAGTATATTACTATGTAAAATTGTTTTATATAATATTCCTTTTATTTTTGCAACTATGTTTTTACTCAGAAAATTTATTACTCTGTTTCTTCCACACATTTTATTTTTCTCTCTCTCTCTTCTATACTGAGATTATTTATTTGTAATGATATGTACAGTACATACACCTGTAATAAAATGTATTAACTTAACGGAATATGATATTAATTAAAATTACAAAAACTTCATAGTAAAAAAAAAAAATGGTCAAAATAATCAACTTATATGCAATCCATTATTAATCATAGCCACACAAGGATTAAATTATAATGCAAAAAATGTAAATTTTGAATCATTGTCAATTTGAAATTGTAGTTAAATATAAGTAATTTATTTATTAAAATTTTTTTACATAGGCTGAAACTGATTTAAATGATCTCCAACCACTATTAGAATCTTCTAATGCATTAGTGGTATGTCTCTTATAATGTATTTAAAAAAATATATTTTTTGAAAATTAAAATCTCAAAGTTTAATATTAAACTATTAAATACATTAATAATGTATTTAATAGGAAATGAGATTTTTATTATTAGAAGAAAAATATCTTGAACAGTTAGAAGATGGAAGGATTATAGAAGCACTTCAGTGTCTTAGGCATGAACTTACACCATTAAAACATAACACAACTAGAGTCCATGAGCTTAGCAGGTATTATTGAATTGCTATTATTATTATGTTATGTTATGTTGCTTTTTTTAATTATAAGCTTTAATATCTGTAATTGTCCATTAAAAGAAATCTTGAACTAAAAATTAAATATTTTTATTTTTAGAATTATTTATTTTCTTTATAACTAAAAATTAAATTGTTTTAGTTATATGATGTGTGGCACAAGTGATGAATTAAAACTTATTTCACATTAGAAAGGAAAATGCCATTTATCAAGACAGAGACTAATGGAAAAATTACAAGGTATCCTGTTTTCTTCAGAATATTGTTAAATTATTTAATTTTTTCATTTTGTAATCATGTAAAAAAAAGTTACTTTTTATAAACATAAGTTGGACATTATTTATACTTCAATTTAATATGAAAAACATATCAGGTGATTATAATTAAAATATCCCTTTTCAACACTACCTAAAGAGATATTTAGCAGTCCAAATGCAACCAAATCAAGGTATGGTGACATTTTAGGATGTGTAGATGTTTCCATAAAAAAGAAAATAGTATTAAAACTCACCACTATGACACTTTTGGAACTGCAAGCAACAAACATTTTATTTTTACACTTATGCCATACAGAGACCATAGCAGTGTGGAAGATACTGCTTAATGTGATCCACATTCTGAAGGTGTAAAATAGAGATGCTATGAATATTCAGCTACTATTCGGTATTTGGCCTATTCGGCTACTATTTTTAATATTCAGTATTCGGCTGAATACCGAATACCAAATCATGAAAAAAAAATAAAAATGCACATATTACTCAAAAACGTTTTTATTTTAATCACAAATTATTACATTTAATACTTAAAATCTATCAGTGGTAAGTTGTGATGAATGAAAACAATTTTTTCAGCATTTGTTGATAGCAAATGATTGCGCTTTTCCTCATAAACTATACCTGCTTCTGAAAATAGCCTCTCACTATATACACTACTGCTGGGAGATGATAGATAAATCTTAGTGAATTCTGTCAGGCTTGGATACTGTTTTGTGTTTTGCTGACCACCACTTGTAAAGGTCTGCTGTCCGATCTAGGTGAACAGTTTTTATATAAAGTGATACAAACAGTGATATTTTTAGTAATAAGGACTATTAATAACACAATTTGATGTAACAAAGAACAAATAATGCATGTCATGACACGATCTACTCACAAATAAAACAAATGCGTCCGCAGTGTCACTACCGCACCCATAACTTGTCACCCGCAAAATGTACACATATTTTGCTGAACATTCGGCTGCTGAATATTTGGCACTTTGGCTGAGAGCATAGCCGAATATTTGGTATTCAGCAAAATCACTATTAGTGGCATCACTAGTGTAAAACATGAAGGCAATGAACAGTGTTTTCAACAGTTGATGTAATTGATTCTTTGTGATGCTTCTCACAAAGCATGATAAAGTAGAGCGTCGTTTATCCGAATCAATTGGGGACTGAGGTTGTTCGGATAACCAATTATGTACGAAAAAATATATTAATTAACCTATCCAATGTTGAAATTCGTTCAAATTCTGGCAGGTCCTTAAGTATCCTCTCATGGTCGTGCCAGTGCTGCCAGCTAAAACACACATCAACAAAAAAAATATTGGAGTAGCCCAAGATATAGCCAAAGATTGCAGCGCCACAGCACTAGCGAAAATTTAAATTTGCTGACTGGAATTCTTTCAGATAACCGACTTTCGGATAAACGACACTCTACTGTACTTCAAGATTGTCAAATTTGCAACATGTCCTTCATAAAATATATTTTTTAGTGTCACTACAACCTAAAATTACATGGATTAAGATCTAGATAATGACATAGCCAGGCAGTAGGAAACACACAATTGATGACACTGTTGTTGCAGAAACTGTTGTATTAGGACTAGTTTCTTCAAATAAGTTAGTGGATACATGTGGTTATGAATCTACATCAGATTGTAACTGTAGATAAAAGCATAGGAATCTACTGGAAACATGAGGGTTTTCCATGGTCCCAATGCAACAGTTACAGGTGTTCATTGTTTCACTGAAGTAAAAATGTGCTTTGTTTCTCCACAGGATTTTCTTTAGTCTTGATCTATCCATTCCATTCTGACCAGGAAGGTCAATACTAAGATCAGTTGGATTTCTCTACCGGAAGCAAGCAATTGCAGGTTGTAGCTGATTTTGTATGAATAAACAATGCACTATCCTTTTCAGTACTTTCTACACTGTCATAGGACATTTCCAACTGCCATGACACTGGACATACACTATTGAAACCTGCAATGTTAATGACTAACTGTTCAACATCTATGGTAACATCTTTAACAACTTGTGAAGTGATGGGTTTGCACCTTCAACTGGATTGAACTCCCAGACATCCAGTTTCCTTAAATCACGTGATCGTTCTTTAGTGTAAATTCTTATGACAGAAAATTTCCCTAATTGCAACTGTAGCATTGTCTTTGTTTTAATAAAACAGCTTTACAAGAAATATGTTCTGGCAAGGTGGTGCTCATTGTAGCTGATAAGAATAACATTGAACAGTTGTGGTTATTTATATACCCAGAACATGGCTAAAAAATGTGCTTAAGCAAAGGAAACTACTGTTTTGTTGCTTGCAGCATGAAAAGTGTTATAGTAGTAAGTTTAGCTATTAATTTTTTTTATGGAAATGTCTTATGTACATTCTGAAATGTTACCATACCAGATTTGGTTGCATTTTGGACTGTTAAATATTACTTTAGACAGTGTTGAATAGGAGTAATTTAATTATGATTACCCATTATATATAAATTTCAAGTATTTTTTCAATGTTGTATATTTTATAAGAAATGTAATTTTTTAGTATACTATTTTATGTAATATTAGCAAGGTATTTTTAGTTATCTATTTTAATAATTATTTTGAAAACTAATTACTGTAATTTAGTAATTGTATGAAAATAGAATTAAGAGAATTATGAAAAACTCAACCAAACATACCACTAAGTAAAAAAAAAATAATGTTGAATTCAGCAGAATTATCAGAAAGTTGCAGAAATCATCAGTGTATTAGGAAAATTAAACTTGTAATATGAAAGATTAATCTACAAAACCGTAAACATTTATATGTATAGCATTAATAAATATATTTTTAACAGAGTATCATGAAATATGAGAGATTAAATTAATCAGTAAAAATTAAATTATTTGCAGTATCTCAGATAATAATGTGCATAAATTGAAATTATCTGTTAACCTAATAATTGTTATCTTTATGCATTGCTAATTGTTATGAATTTGAAATTTCCAATATAACAATACAAATATTATTATTATAATAATTTCTGTTAATTGTCAAAATATATTTACTCAAACTGGAAGGTTGATGTCACGCCAATCCTTTTTTACAAATTAAGAAAGAGAGAACTTTCACACAAAGGTGTTAAATGCATTTAAAAAATAATGTTTTATTGTTGCTAGCGCTTTCAACATATAATGCATCATCCTCAGGCTGATATTAATTTTGAATAATCCTTTTGAACAAGCTTTTTTAATTTAAAAACTAATGGCATTAACTGTTTAGAACAAAACATATTTAAATAAACAAACGCAAAGAGTATAAAATTAAAGTGTGCGTAGTGACTATGTGTGTGTGCCATAATGCATAAATTAGGAGCAGAGAGCATAGCTAAAAGCAATGTTTCAGTCTTTTATATAAACTGGCCCACATTTCAGGCAACTCAAGTGTGAGAGAGTTGCATGGATTTAGTAATATGGTGAGGAGGGCCTCCCAAATGTATACCAGACTCCTCTGATCATAGTACCTGAGCATCACCACTGGTCCCACAATTATATATACCATATATTTTGGTGTATAAGACAACTGGGCATATAAGACGACCTCCGACTTTTACAGTTAAAATATAGAGTTTGGGATATACTCGCCCTATAAGACGACACCCGACGTATACGATGACCCCCCCCCCGACTTTTGAGAAGATTTTCCTGGGTTAAAAAGTCGTCTTATATGCCGGAATATACAGTATTTACTTTATACCTAAATTATACATTTATTGTGCTATAATCTATATAAATAAATACAATGACAAACTAATTTTAATTTCTCTCAGACTTTTGTCCTTATTTATATTTTTGTTGTTTCAAATACTTTGAATTAAATATATATTGTACATGAATTGCATTTTGTAAATCAGCATCAAAAATATCTGTTATATTTAAAATTAACTTCTTTTTTTAAATTGAACAATATAAAAAAATTGACAAAAGTCTTTACAAATTAGAAGAAAATTTGTCATAAGTTATTTATTTGTATAGTTTAAAAGATTATTTTAGTCACTAGATAAGTTTTTTTTATTTAGTGAAATTTTTTTACATAATACTTGAAAAAAAAATAAAATATATGATTGATTCTTTTTTGCCTCTATGTTTTTACTTTTATTGATTTCTATTTGTATCCTTGTCTACTTTGGACTTTGTTTATTAATAAATAGGACTTATTACACTGGTGTAGTTTCTGTTCAGCAAATAGATGAGATCTAAGTCAAAGTCAAAACAAAATATCTTTATTTTAACCTGATGAAAATAAAGCAAATACTTTTATAATAAATAAGAAATTTTTGTATTTATTTCTGAGTAAAAAAATTACATTTGTTTTACTTTATTATAGTAGAAATTTGCTAACCTGGGACCTATCAAACCAGAGTGGTGCCAGGTTACTGGACGTTTTTGAATATTTACAAAATTTGATAAGTTATGTGCAATCTGAATGTTGCGGACATTGCTGTACATTTTACCAAGACATGCTGTAATGTTCTTCTGATTTTATTTAAACATGCAATAAGTCTGAAGGTGATACAGTGTATGACTATGCTTGTGTTAAGTTTTTTTAAAAACCTGCAAAAAGTTAACCTGTTATTGCAAAAATCAATATTCACAATGAATCATATGGATATATTAATTATTTTCCAGACATGTACTGCATACATATGATTCACAAATTCTACACATACTCTGAGTGTGAGAATCTTGTTTTTAGGTGTTTTTTTTTGCATTGGCATTTGGGAAAGAAAACACGTCAGTCACACATGTTACTTGATATAAAACAGTGCTAGTTCTAACAAAGCAATATTGTTCAGCACAATACAGTGTAGATTATGTATAGTTTACTAAATTACATTGCACAGGAGTTTAACATTCTCCTAATTATTCTTGAGATGAAATTGATGAAACTGCTTCATCCAACACACTCTGAAAAGTAACTGAATTATCATCTACTTTTCAGCAGGAGTCAGATTAGTTCAGAGAGACATTCTAGATTACTAGATGCTGGGCTAACAAATTTTATTTTAAAAAAATAATATATTTGGTTTATACTGTTTAGATATTATTTTTTTTATTTCACGTGCTTTTGATGACATGATCTTGTCATATGAAATTATTTTAATGATTAAACTATAAATTATGTGATAATTTGAATGGCAAATTTTCCATCCTTGATAAATAAATATGCAATTTTCTATTTTAGTAATCTTAGAATAAAAACTTTTTCAGTTTAAAAACTTACAGTAATGCATTTAAAATTTTTATGATTTTATATTATAAAAAAATGTTACAATGGAAAACCTTTTCACAAAATTATAGTTTAATTTGTCAAAACTTTAGCAATATCACAAAAAATATTTAATTTCTCATTTACTGTTATACACAAAATCAGTGTTTTAAATAAAAAGAACAATAATTATTTTTAAGAATTATTTTTATGTATTATAAGATTATTGCAGTGATTACAATATCTATATAATTTTTGTAGTTTTTCTGATATAATGATCTTATTTTTTCGAAGTATTTTGTTTTGAAATTTTATATTTATTATTTGTGAAAGTTTTTTGCTTCGAATAATTATTTTAGAATAATATATACAGTAAAAATAACACATTATTTACATATAAAGTATAGATTTAGTAACTTTGATTAGTATTTTTTATGGATTTTCAAAAATAATTATGAGTATTACAAACTCTTCATGTCTGATTAATTAAATTATTTAATTTTTTAAAGCATTTTTGCCTCCAACAGTAATGCTACCTTCTAGAAGATTAAGAACATTACTTGGTCAAGCTGTTGAATTACAGCGAGATCGTTGTCCATATCACAACATGAAGCCAGATGATAGTCTTGAAAATGTATCTTTATTAATAGATCATAAATGCACAAAGTAAGTTACATGAATAAATTATTTTTTTATTCTGTAATGAAAAATATAAATACATAATGTAATAATTTAAAATTTTCAAACGAAAAAAAATTAGGTGAATTTCAAAATTGGATCATTTCTGTGTATATGTATATACACTTTTTTGTATTCAGCCATTTCATTGCAGGACAAAGCAGGACATTGCTATTTTTTATTTTTTCTTAACCTTGGTTTTCTGTGTCATTATTTTCTTATAATTTTGCTATTTTATTTTTTTATCTTGTCTTTGGTCATTACTTTTTCTTGCTTCTGCTATTTAATTCTTTCAGAGTAATGATTTATTCTTCTCCTTAAATCATTTATAAAGGGAGTTTAAAAACAGAATGTAACTAGTTGATTGATTAAATAATATACAGTGGTGCCTCGTATAACGTACGCCTCGAATAACGGACGCTGCGAATAACAGACTCTCTGTTTGGCCGTTACGTGACTCGAGCAACGGACTGGCTGCAGACAATGGACTTTCTGTTCGGCAGTTACGTGAGGCAACCAATGGACTTTCTACGAACAAGTGCGAATGATGTTTCCACTTTTTTGCCATTGCCAATGACAATCTGCTATTTTTATAATATATTAGTATTATTAGAATATATTATCAGTATATCTGAAGTACAGAGCGTTGGATTAGGCTTGCTTCCTTGTTTATTAGGTACATCAACACAGTGCAGGGTATTTACATTTATTCAAGTGTTGTGCAAATCATTTTTTCTAAAACAACAGAAAAGTGATTTCAATTGAAACAATGCAAGAAATCATCAGAAGGAATGAAAGTTGACAAAAACTTCCTTGTCGAATGGGGAGAGGTTCAGGAGTTTACCAACACTCATTATCCAAACAGAACTGAGGCCAATAGGATCAATGATCTCTACAATGACATCCTTGCCCGTCATTTCCGACAGGTGTTGAAGAAGAGAGAGAAACAGACCACCTTGGACATGTTTTTCAAAAAGCCAGCAGGGAAAAAACAAAGGATGAAACAAGAGGAGTTGACCCTGCAAGCTCTGGTAGCCTCTCCTGAATCTGAATCCGATTAAAAAACAATAAAAAAAGAGACCCGCTGCAATATGTAAAAAGTCTGTATCTGTATGAATGTGTGAAGAAAGTGTTCCTCCACCTCCTCCTCACAACATCTGACTACCCGGCATAATTGGTGACTGCTCCATTTTCATTTTTTTATGGTAGAGTACGGTTATTTTACGCTGCGGAACAAATTATATGTTTTAACATGTATTTCTATGGGAAAATGCGTTTCGTATAACGGACAATTCATTTAACGAACGTGCACCTGGAACGGATTAAGTATGTTATACGAGGCACCACTGTAAATGAATTTTAATTTATAATGTTTTATGTGAATTTAGAATATTTATAATCATGATAAGATTTTGTAATGTTTTCCAGTAATTTTTGTAAATATGAATTTAAAATTTACATTTCTTTTTTTAAAAAGAAAAAAAATTAAAATCAATTCAATAAAATATATGGATTAATTATGAAAGCATATCATATTTATTATGAGAATGATATTAAAATGATTTAGTATTTTTTACAACTTTAATTGTTTGTAATGACAAATATGATTCAAACTAGATAGTTCCCCATCATACATGATGGAGGAATTATGTAGTTCCTCCATCGTGTATGGTCTGGGCTTTTGTCTCAGTCAGGTTGGTCAGAGCCTCTTGTTAATATGTTAACATAACATAGGGAAAGAATTAAATGTATTTATCCCATCCCCTTTTCCTAGTTAATATATTATATTCCAAACGAATACTATTCATTTGTCAGACTAACCTGACTTTGGACAAGGTGGACCATGATGATATAGACACTTTCACCATTTGAGTCCCAGATACAGAACTGTACTAAAAATTCTATAGCCCTGAAAATGTTTCCTTATGTCTTTTCTGAGTAATAGAGACGTTAATATTTGTTTGGTTTCTTGAATCAGATAAGGCAAATTCTTAATAAAAAATGGCAATGTCAAATTATATGAAGTAGTGACTTTAATATTATAATAATAAAATTAATAACGTTAATATCAATCAATCAATATCAATAATCTTTATTTGTCGTAAAAGGCTTTCGCCTGTTACAAGGGCGTTTTGTTTTATATAAACGCGTATTAATTTAACATCACTTATAATCTTGTCTTATCAACATTATTTAATTACATTAATATTTTGTAAATTGTTTAACATAGTTATATAACATATAAATAGTGTTAGTATTAGCTCTGTCAAAAATCTTATACATTTTCATCTCACTATTACAATTAGCCAGCGGTTCCATCTGGAGCCGTTGTAGTTTATCCTTTTCACTACAGCATTCGCATATTATATGAACTCTAGATAAAATTTTGGTACAATTCGGACATTTAGATTGAGTGTAGTCTATATATTTATCATTTATTATTATTCCATTTTTATTTAGCCTAATTTGTATAAAAAACTTTTTGATATTAAAGGCTAGATTTGTCAATATATAGTTATTATTAACTGGGTAATTTAAAATTGTTGCATACCAGCTTGTTTTTTCCCGTTTTCGTATGTCTTCAGTGTCTTGAACGATGGAGAGCTCCATAGCTCTGTATATTATTTCTTTACTATACTGCTCCATATCATGTGTACGATCCAGAAACAATTTAATAGAGAATCCATATTTATTTACTATCTTTGATAACTGTATTATCCAACTTCGTCTTAAATCCGCTTCGCTTGATTTGCGATATAGTAAAAACAGCAATTTTGTTGTTATGTCTTCTGCCTTTATAATTTTTTGTAGAAACATTAAATATCTTTTTATTAATATAGTATTTAGTCTGAATCTATTTGTTTCTATTCTTAAGACACTGCCCGGGATATTAAATTCTAATTGGAATATCTTGCGTATAAATATATTCTGTATTTTTTCAAAGTCATTAAATTTGTCCATACTCCAAATTGGGGCAGCATAGCTCATTGAATTCATCACAAGCGAATTAAAAAGTTGAAAGTGTGTTCTTAAGTTCTTTAGTTTTGCCTTACAGAATAGACCAATTAGGTTATTTATTACAATTTTTGCTTTATTTAGTGAATTTTTATAATGTTTCTCAAATGAAAGGTTTGGTGTAAATGTTATTCCTAAAAATTTTATTTCCTTAACTATCTTCACTTCTTCTTTATTAATAAAAAACGACATGTGCTTTTTGGATATATTACTACCATTTCTGAATATCATTATTGATGATTTTTTTGGATTTATTTTAACTCTTAACTTTTCTAAGTACTCACAAATCTGTTGGATCTTTCTACGGAGCGCAGCTGCCGTAGGAGCTACCAGCACAATGTCATCGGCATATGATATAGTATGAATTGTCTGATTTTCAATTTGAATACCATCTTCGTCTCTTTGAAAACAAGTATTTAGGTCATATAGATAAAAATTGAAAAGATATGGGGACATCGGATCTCCTTGTAATAGTCCTCTGTAAGTAATAAACGGTGTCCAGATCTTTGTATCTTGTTTAATGATTGTCTTATATTTTCCAAACAGCAATCCTATCATTTTTATCAAAAGTTCATTTGCTCCACATCTCTTCATTTTACTTTGTAGGTCTGTAATGCTAATCATATCATATGCTTTTTCAAGGTCCAAAAAAAGAGCGAACACTTTATGTCTTTTCTTAAGCAACTGTATTTGAATTAGTGATAACAACACAAAGAGAGCTGTCTGAGTACCACCTCCTTCCACAAACGCAAATTGCGTATCATTTCTATAATTGTTAGCAGCTGTCCAATGATTAAGTTTACTAGCTAATACTGCAGTGAATATTTTCCGTAGACAAGACAGAAGAGCTATTGGTCTGTAATTGGTTGGTTCCTGTTTGTTCCCTTGTTTAAATATCATGGTAAAAATGACTTCATTCCATTTGTCCGGTATTATACTATAACTGTAGAATTGATTGAATTGTCTGGTTAAATATCGAATGATTTCTAGTGGCAGCATTTTAATGAGTGAATTAGGTATTGTATCTGCTCCTGGTGTTGATTTATCTTTAAGTTTCTTAATACAATCCTGAAGTTCTTCCGTCTTAATTATCTCTTCTCGATGAATTTCTGGTCTTATCTTAGTTTCCATATATTTTTGACAAAAATTTTTTCGGTAGTTTTCTGAGAATTTATTGTAGTATTTCAGCCAATCATTATATCCTACTCTAGCCTGTATGTCAAGACCTGACTTTCTTTTACGAAAATTGTTAATTATTCTCCAGAAAACTCTCGAGTCTTTCGCTTCTGATAATTTCTTACTGATATTTGAAAAATATAATTTCTTTTTGGCTTTTATTAAATTATTATACATTTTCTTATATTTTAGGTAATTCATTAGTGCTTTGCTGGTATTTGTTCGTCTGAAGACTTGTAAACTCTTTTGTTTTTTAATTTTGTAACTATAACATGTATTGTTGTACCATTCGCATTTGAATATTTTTTCATTCTGTCGTATACAATTCTTGTACTTGTATTCCTCTAATTTAGTTGTCATATTCAAATAATTTTCTATTGGATCATTTTCTTTTTCCAAATTTAACATCTCCCCGATCATTTTATCGAACTCTTTTACCAATTTTCGTTTATTATAGGATGGTCTTAGTTCTAGATTAATAAGATGACTCTGTTCACAATTATGTAATTTATTTCCTGTTTTTTGATATTTTATTAATTCCAACTGAATAGGAAAATGATCTGCCCGGTCATCCTCCAAAACATTCATAGAGTTACAGCACTTTAACATTTCTTCTGAACAAATAATATAGTCCACTATTGATTTCCCGTTTGGGGAAACAAAGGTAATTTCTGCAGGGGTATCTCCTATCATCCTACCGTTCAGAATTATTAATTGGTTATTATGAACAAAATCTAGAAGTATTTTGCCTTCTGTGTTTAAAACTTTGTCTTTGGATATTCTCTTATTGGCTATAT